GTCTTCCTCGTGATCTTCAATTCCAGCTCCTCCCAATCGACCGTGAATTCGCTGCTATCGACACGGCACTTCGTATCCTGCAGAAACGAGGTAGAGTGGATGGTGATCGCGTGGTTATTTGAGCAGTGCAGTAGACTTGGCTAGGACTCACTAACCTTGGGCGGAATTAGTGAAACGCCCACGTAGACGCCTCCTGCGGCCTCTATTTGGGGCGCGTAGCATCCGAAAGCGGGCTCAAGCACGACAACCTCATCGCCTGGGTTGATGAGTGCCAAAAATATCGTCGACAAGGCACCAATGCCGCCAACACTAATGATTATCTCAGTCAACGGATTAATGCATCGATCAGCACCGAAGGTGCCCTCTCGCAGGTCCTCTGCGATTTCACCAGAAACACACGGGTTGTGACGGAAGCGTTCGTTGAAGAGCTTGGCCAGGGCATTCACCAGACGCGGGTGACCCTACCAACAGCAATTACATCGTCTATCACCGACATCTAAGCAATAAAATCAAGCAAGCCTTATTCCTAACAAACTAACGGTAGATCTGGCGTACTGATGCAGCGACGGTGACACGTTATCATCGGCGACAAGACGAAGGTTCCTCAGCACGCAATTGGTGAATATGAAGTCTGGAGATCCCCGTGTCAAGTTGATGGCCTTGTGTTTGTCAATGGCGTCATTCAACTCTTGCCAGGCAGTTGATTTTATGCTGAAAGTGCGTTCAGCTGGGCGTATGTTTGACATACTTCACAGGTAGTGGCTGCAAGTAGAGGAATCAGCCAATTACTCGCTGCCGATATGTAGGGCATTAACAGCGAACGCGCCTGAGTGAACTCTGCTTACTGACATGATGCTGATAATGACTTATCGCCTGTCAGCCGTTCACTCATATACACACTAAGACACACTTGGCTGGCGTGACGCCAATAAACGGTCGTGTCCTCTGTCGCCTCTCTTCACTCCATTCTCGAGTTGTTACGGTCGGTTAACTAGAGGTTTATAAGGTGGTGCTGAAGCACTAGCTACTACATTTGGTGACACCGACGTGATAAAACCACTTTGTATATGACGCCGTCGATTGATGACCTCCGTCAAATTATTCATAACTCTCTCTGTTAGCCTTGAGTGACCGTATTGCTGCTAACCTCTGTTCGGAAAACAGCATTTCAGTCAACTTTCTCCCGTGCGGTCCCAACGTTCATTTTCTCAATCAGATGACTACCTCCCAGTTCCCCAAATATTTACGTGTTATTGCGTGGCTACCGAGAGATGTTGCTATAGGCGTTACCGAATTGCTTGGAGCAATGCCTTCTGAAAACCCCTTTGGAGATTTGAATGATGCTGCTCTCACACTATTGATCAGTCCGAACGAGCCTCATCGTCGACGCCTACTTTCTGGTATCGAACTAGTTGACAGGTCTCCTTCTCAACTCCTTCGGCATATACACCTCTTTTTTTGGGGATATCAAGGTTAATGATTCCGTTCTATGCCAAAAGTGAACTAAAACTTTATTGGTACACACGGACACGATTACCTCGTTCCAAGGCTCTAGCGTACACTTTGATCAGCTTACAGAAATGGCCGATAACATCCACGAGTGTCCTACCCGGGGAGAGAAAAATCTAACCATCTCCTCGGGTGTATCAGCTAACAGGTAGCCAACCACTTTCCAAGATTTGATGATATATCATCTTGACAGCCTAAAGACCGATAGTGCGCCACTTCCCGTTTCCGCCAGCCAAGTCAACCCAGGAAGAGATCCGACCTACCCCTGAGACCCGATGCGCGCTTTTCTGATTCCATTCCATAGTTTTTGAGCGTTCGCCGTTTCACATCTCACGCTCTTGAGGGGGAAATATTTTTAGCGGATAAACAGCGATCGCGCCTGAGTTAACCCTGTTTACTGAATTGATGCTGCCAATGCCTGTCACTCATCCACACACTGGGGCACATTTGGCTCGCGTGGCGTTAATAAACATTCGTGTCCTCAGTCGCCTCTCTTCATCCCACTCTTGGGTTGATATGCGCTGTTAACTAGAGGGTTGCAAGATTGTGCTAAAATTCTAGCTACTACATATACATCTGTAAACAAGCTCAAATCCTTTTACTCAGACCTTGTTAGCTGAATCCTTTCGTTTAGCGTCAGTGATGCTGTAAGGCAGCATCAAATGCGAAGTGCGCTTTAGTGTCGTGACTACAAAGCATTTGCAGCCGACGCGCGAATTCTAACGTGAACTAGGCGATCCTTGATACCGGGAAAATCACTTCCACGTAGAACTTGTGGTAATCCGCTTGAACCGGGCCATCATCAACTTCTAGTTATGCGTCTACAGAGACAAAGAATCTTGGCGACTTAGAGGTTGTCGTGGACCTCTGGGCTATCGGGATTTTGTGGACAGCCGCGTTATGATGCGGGCTGGGCAGCCGATGATATGTGCTAATGCCTTTCCCTTCTTTCGTCTAATCTCACACCACCTTGTTCTCCTCTGCCAACGTTTTAGGTTAGTTTTATCCATTGGCCCTTCACACATCGATTACCGGCTTGACGATTATGTCAACCACACAACCTGCTAGGTTCCGGTCTAACGATTGGCGCATCATTACCTCAGAATTGCAGTGTTGAGGCAGAAACGTAAGTAGACACGATGTCTTTCACACAAGCAGCACACAACTGACACAATGGATAAGCCAATAGAATATCAGATAAATACAGATCGAAGGGGGTCGGAAACCACTTTACCAACACCAAAATGAATAGCCAAATTCACTTAATTGAGCCATTGTTCGAATTGGTCTATTCCAACCGGTAGCGAGTTGGTGTGGAGAACGTTTGCTATGTCTTTACATTTCGCTAAAAGTAGACAGATTATGCACAACAGCTACAAGCAACAGGCAACCGCCTGGCCAAACACGACGACTGATCACACTGGACCTGATTGTAGAAGCACCTTCAGCGCGACGTTTCAGTGCATAACCTGCGCCAAAACTACACCGGCCATATTCTGACGCCGCATGTTGTTCAAATTGGTGCTACAAACAAGGCTAGCTGCATAGGCGTTCCATGCCACTAGAAGCAGCTTACATGTGAACAAACGGCGTCCCTCTATGCGACATAAATGCCTCTATCCAATTTACCACACAAACTGCAAAGGTGCATCAAGATGGCAAGACAAGGACTCACCTGGTGCGTTGAAATCGCCACGAAAATCTGGCGTGGCTCCTCTTTTATACGAAGGCTGCTGAAAGGGCTTGACACGTCCATAAACAATGCATCGGACCACACACGCACAGAACAACTGTGAATTCAACTATAACACATAGATTTTCAGTACACTAATGCAAAAAAGACCTCAGTCAAGGAGCTTTTTCTGTCTTAGTCAAGGGCCCAGCGCACGCTCACACGCTACCACTTGTGTGAGTGTAAGCGAAATGCCACGCTGAAAGGTGCGTGGACCAATAGACTGAAGGTAGGAGATGTGAATACAACAGCTGGTGTACACAAACATGACTGCTAATTAAAGGAGGAATTCGTGAATATCGCAATTGATAAAGTCTTGGGGATGGTCAGATCCCCAACAATAACGCAATACATCACCCAAAATTCTGATTGATTGCCTGAAGAGAACTGACTGCGCTGGCAGTTGCAGTCTACCACCTTCTATTAACGCTTGGTCTTCTCTTCACGCTTCTTCCGTCTTGTCTCATTCACTTTAGTGTGACAAACAAAGCATATGCATGCATTTGCACGGCAGAAATGAAACATCGCGAAGCACAAATTTAAAAATTAATGTTTTTATTTGGCTATTGGAACCTCAAGTACACACCAATTAATTTGTGTGCGAATTTAGACGCTGAAAACATGTATATCAAAGCTGCTTTAAGATGCCAGATTGCAGTAGTCAGTAATACTGCCTTAACAGGCAAGACGGTTAGACGCAACTCTAGGACAAAGAAACCGCGTAATTAATGTTACCGGCCACTTCACTACAAACGATCAAATTTGGACAAGATGCTCTCGGAAATTTATGCACCCCGGCTGCTTTTAGCGCCAATTTGAAGCTAGTTGGAAGGCATGCGTTCGCAGGTACCTCCTCCACACTGGCAGAGTGCTTCCACAGTGAATATCACGCTTAGAAATCGTTGTTTAAACTCGAGTCAAGGTCAACCCACTTGGAGGGAGATCAAACAAAGCAAGCAGTTCGCCACACAACTCGCGTGTCCAGGCTAATCGAAAATACTAATATAGTGACATCGCTTAATTCAAGCCTTCATCTGGACGCAGTTTTCAAACGGATCCACCCGGAAAGTGACGTGTGTGATTCAATTAGAGCCTCGGTGGATAGCTTTGTGGAGTAAATTGCATGACCACTTAGAGTTGGCACAAAACACAAGTCACGATTTGCCAACAAGTGTTCCGACGACATGGTAGAGGCTGCATCATAGCGTCTGCCGATTTAGCAACGCACCAACGACCAATCATTCTCGAGGCATTTTCGAAATCCTCCAAGTTGGAGTAGGATCTTGCATGGTAACCAGAGTCATAACTCTACATCATATTTTGAATTTTCTGGGATGGAGAATCGAAATGGGATTCACCGATGCACAATGACCGCACCGATGCCTACTTTGACAGTTGTCACATCAGAACCAGTCTATGTCATGTTACTGACAATTCGTCTGCCGAAGTAATGGAACAGAAGTGTTGATGGAAATCTCGAATGACACTGTGCTGTCTCCGGGCTCAATAGTCTCGAATCACCCGTCAGCAAGTCTTCGAAACACACATCGCCGATGTTCTTCGTCCAACGCATTCCACCCCTCGTTGTTAAACCCCTAACGACTCTTACAGCATAATTCTGTTCTGTTTATTCAGTAGCGCAATCTCGTTGGCACAATTCATCAAGTCTGCCAATTGCGTCACATAAATGCATCCAGGTCTCTGTGTAGCACTGTAGCAAAGTTCAAATTTTCCGCTATTACATTTAAACGACCCAGTAAACGGTATGATATAAATATTTAACTGATGATCATAACCGATTAATGCAAAAGTGGAAGGCTGTTACTTCTAACCAATAAACCAATCAAATGCACAAGATTTGGCGCCCAACGTGAATGTCTGCTAACACCAACAAGTTGTCTTATTAACGCGAGGCTCTTAACGACACAAAGGGGTGGTGCTGTGTACAGTATTTATTTAAAAAGGCTTAAATGGCGAAGGGTGAGGTGGCTTTGGGTTCCGGTAATTGGCGCCAGTGGTTCCGGTACACGACAAAGAATTGCCAATCGCCATGAATGCGGTATTTTGCACAAAACAAAAAGCTTTATGATGAGGATGATAATTCCTAACCAGCCAATCACAGCGACTTGTTTGGCAGCTAAAACGCTCAGCTACACTCAATGACAAACTGCATTAGAAAACTATGCGTAAAGTTGACCAGTCCAGCGTACCTGAATTTCTTCAATTGTGGGCACTGGAACTTTAGCAATCCTTATCTGCTTATTATTTCTCTCCTGCAATATGAAAATAAAAGTGGAATGTAGTACGACGTAAAATGAAGCGTTTTCTAGGATGGAGGAACTAGG